CTAGTCATTCAGAAATCTGTTAGACCGGCTCTGTCCGGTGCCTCAATTTTGTGATCTTGTCTTGCCACCGTAGTTGGATAAAGGTGTACTCGCGGCGACCGGGTGACGAATTCCTTGTGGTTCGGGTTCACGCCCGGAGGTAGACAGAAAAGCCACATTTCTCCAAGATTTACGGTACCTATCATGGAATCAAGGGTTGCGATATCCATAGTACCGAGCCAAACTGTTAACAACTCCTGGTTTTTTGGATACTTGGAAAAAAAAAGTATTCTTCGTTGGCCTCTCACGTGAAAGATTTAGCCTTTTGTTCCGTATAAGTAAGTCGATGAAGTTTCGCTTCCATAAAGAGGAGTGCAGAGAACAATTGTACAGAAGAGTGTTTAGAACACAAGCTCGGTGTACACGGTTTTTGTTTTGCTCGAGCTTTCTATTCTCCTAAACACTTTTTGTTAAACAACTTCGCCAACTGACAATAACTTATTTTTTTTTCCAAGACCAGTTTAGGCTAGGGATAAAGTTCCTTCTAAGCAGAACACAAAGCATGGGTCATGCATCCCTCTGTTTGCTTGCCTTTACTCCAAAGGAAAGATGTCACCAATACTTTTGGAACAAAGCGTGTAACAGAAGCTGTCAAATTTTAGAAGAGCAGCACTCTGTAGGTCCACCTGTTGGTACTCTCCTTTTGGGCCAGCTAAAAACCATAGCTAAGGGCCCTGAAAAAATTGAGTTTTCAGATCACAATTACTCTTCCTAGGATAAGGCTGGTATCCTCTCTAGTGCGCTTGTCTGCCGAAACAGTTGGCAAAATTGTGGATATATGCGTCGCACAACACGGTACTGACTGATGTTATAGGTATCTCAGTCATGTTTGAACAGGATCTGTTTATAAGTACCACTAGCAGATTAACTAGATGTCCGCCTTTCGTTTGCTCTGAGTGTTGACCAGATCTCCTAGTCACTCTCAGGTGCACCATTCTCTCTATACAATGATGATTTATTTGTGTTACAGCATTGTTCACCTTTTCTCTAAGGGCACTGACAACATCTCGTTTGTCATGCATTACTTCGTCAAGATTAAGTAGAGAACCAGCCAATATGTCTGCTTGATCATTTCCCAGCACACCATCATGTGGGGGAGGGGAGATTCAAATGAAACGACTGATCGGACCTCCTGTCTCAAATCTTGCCACTAAACGGAACAGGCCTGCTCCTTATTTTTCAGCATGCATTGTGAGTCTATTTCATCAACAATTTCCACTTCTATCGTTAAGCGTAGACAGTATTTAGTTACTGTAGTAAAATTAATATATTTGTATATACTCGTGTGTATGTGTGTATATATACATGTATATACAATGTTTACTTATCGCCTTTATTGCAATCACTCGTATTTTAAATCAATATATAGTATTTAGTCATTGTATTAAATGAATTAAATGAATGGTCTGCAAGGTGTGGACTGTGCCTGGCTCTGCATCCAGCAGGGTTGGGGTCGGCTAGCTTCTCTTAGGAGAGGTGAAAAGTGAAAATTAGTAGCCTGCCGATGACCCACAGTACACATAAGTCAACCTCTCCTCCCAGTGGTGCAGACCGGGAAACTGTGGCCGTGAGGCCACAGGCGAACGAGGCTCTGGCTCGCCAGATGGGATGGGGTCCATCTGGTCAGATTTTCCCTTAAACTGCGACTGGCCTAGCAAGCCGGCAGTGGATTTTTTTATTGCTACGAAAATTAGAAAGGAGATAAATAAACGGACAACCCCAAACGGAAAATGGACTGGAAACGTTAAAGGACGACGAGACAGAAAAACGACTTACATAGGCACATGGAACATATGTGGTATTGCCAACAAAGAGCCACAAATAGTGGATTTCATGAAAAGAAAAAATATACACGTCATGGGTCTTGCGGATACAAGAAAGAAAGGATATAATACAAAAGAAATACATGAAAATTATGTTTTATTATGGAGCGGAGTACCCACTAAAGATAGGGCAAAACATGGTGTCGGATTTATACTTCATCCCGAGACAGCAAAATTAATAACAGGAACAGAATTTATATCAGAAAGAATTATTTTAATCAAGTTGACAGAAGGAAGTAAAACTACAACGATTATTCAGATATATGCACCTTGCAACGATAGTTATTCTGAAAAAGAAAAAGAAGACTTTTACGAGAGACTTACGGACACATTCAATAATGTTAAAGAGAAAGAGGACATCATAGTAATGGGAGATTTTAATGGTAGGGTAGGTAAAAGAAGATCACCATGGGAGAGATACCTTGGCCCATTCAGCGACACAACCACAGATTGCAATAGAAATGGAGAACACCTGTTAAACTTGTGTGCTGAACAAGATCTCTACATTACCAACACATTCTACCAACATCGCCAAAGTCAGGTTAAAACGTGGTACAAGTGGAACAACTTAGATCAAGCGTCACAAATTGATTTTATACTAGTCAGACAACGGCAGAAGAGGACGGTAAGAGACTCAAAAGCTGTCCCAAATGCGGGACTGGATTCAGACCATCGCCCAGTAGTTATGAACATATGCAACTCAAGTAGAAACAGTCTACATAAACAGAAACGTGAAGAAATCATCAACACTAAGAAATTAGAGGAAGGGAATATCAAACAAGAATTTGAACTAGAAATAACAAAGGCTTTTGCAGATATTGCCAAGGAACCAGTAAGAATTTAAGAAGAATGGGATTATTGTAAATCAACCATCACGAAGATATTAAAAGACAAGTGTGGTACCAGAAAGATGGGCAAAGGCAAGAAAAAGGGTACCGCTTGGTGGAATGAAGAAGTCAAAGAAGCAGTGTCAAATAAAAAGAAGATGTTTCAAATATGGTTAAAAACAAAAGACGAAAAGGATTACATTAGGTACAGACTAACTCGAAGAGACACCAAGAGAACAATAAAGAAATCCAAAGAGGAATCATGGAAAAAGTATGGTGAACACCTAACACAGCTATGTACAGAATCACCAAGAGACTTTCATAAGAGTGTGAAAGCGATGCGATTAAAAGAAGAAAGCTTCAATCCAACATCAGTCATAAACGATAAAAATGGAAAACCATTATTCAGCCAAAAAGAAATTAAAAAAAGATGGGAGGAATATTTTAAAGAACTTTTGAACCCGTCGGGAGTACACGAAACAGCAGAATTCCATTCAAGGGCTCCAGATCATCTAGAACCACATATCCTGCGGGATGAAGTAGAGAAAGTTATCAAAACAAGTAAAAGACACAAAGCAGCTGGTATTGACGGAATAACAACAGAAGTCATCCAGGCTGGAGGGGACACTATGATCACCTGGCTGGAGAGAATTTTCAATAGAGCATGGGCAGAGAGAAAGGTACCAGTGGATTGGCAAAGATCAGTTGTAGTACCTATCTGGAAGAAAAAAGGAAACAAGGGAGAATGTGGAACTTATAGAGGAATATCTTTACTAAGTCATGTGGGGGAAATGTATGCAAAGATCTTAGAAGGTAGGATAAGAGCAAAGGTTGAACCTCTACTGAGTAAAGCACAATTCGGTTTCAGGAAAGGGCGAGGTTGCACTGATGCCATATTTGCACTAAGACAAGCCTGTGAAAAGACACTCGAATACGATAAAGAGCTGAACGTGGTCTTTGTAGATCAAGAGAAGGCATTCGACCGTGTAGACAGAGATGTGCTGTGGAGAATTCTTGACGATTACGGAGTGCAGGGTCAATTATTAGACAACATCAGAGCCCTCTATGAAAAAAGTGAAAGTGCAGTAAGAACATCTAGTGGTCTTTCTGAATGGTTCAAAAGTCACAACTGGTGTCAGACAAGGATGTGTACTGTCACCATTACTTTTCATAACATACATGGATAAGATCACTGTAGAAGCAAACCCAGACGTGTATACTATAAACGAATTACTTTTTGCTGATGATCAAAGCATACTGTATCAAAATGAATATGATCTACAGGAACATCTGACTACTCTCAACAACAGCTGTTTACAACATAATATGAGAATCAGTACAGAAAAAACAGAAGTTATGAAGATCAGCAGAACACACAGGCCACTGAATATAAATGTTGGAAGTGCCAAAATCAAGCAAACCAAAGAGTTCAAATACTTGGGCAGTATATTTACAGAGGATGGAAGAATGGACAGAGAGATAGAAACAAGAATACAGAAAGCAAATGCTGTCACATACCAACTATCACTTCTGCTTAAACATCCAGATATAACCATGAAGACCAAAAGACAATTGATAAACACCATCTTCATTCCAATACTCTGCTACCAGTGCCAAACATGGACAATCAACAAGACCCATGAAAGAAAAATAGAAGCCTGTGAAATGAAATGTCTAAGAAAAGCAGCGAGCAAGACCAGACTAGACAGGATAAAGAATATAGACATTAGAAACACTGTCAAAACTACGCCATGTTTAGACTACATAGAACATCAAAGAATGAAATGGTTTGGACATCTAACCAGGATGAAAAATGATCAAATAACATCACAAATTTTCAACCAAAGAAGCTCAGGATTTATGGCAAGAGGAAGACCAAGGAAACTGTGGATTGACGGGGTCTCCGAAACCTGCCAAAAGCATGGCCTCAGAACATCAGATGCTGCCCGCCTTGCTTATGACAGGAACTTGCATCTCCCCACAACGCTTAGCGGCATACGTGGAAGGAAAAAGTAAAGTAAGTATTAAATGAATTCGTTTATATATATATATATATATATATATATATATATATATATATATATATTTATATATATATATATATATATTGGTTTCTAGGTGTATTAAATGAATTCCTTTCTATATATATATAATTTCTATACATTGACTCTACTGTAGTCACTCGTATTTTTAACGATATAAAAATTGAGAAATAGTTTTGTCCCCAAGTTAACAGCCAAATCTCGTTGACCACGAGACACACAAGCAGACGTAATTCTTGGCCTTGTATTTTGTAGGAGGACCCTGCAGAATGGTACTGAAAACTTATCAAACTACTTCCTTCACGTATTAATTACTCTTTCCCTTGTTGCTAAAGTATATATTATGTTCAGGATCGTAGGTTAACACAGGAACCGTTTACGATCAGCAAGACTTGTGAAAATGGAGTAAAACGGTAATGTATTTATTGGGAATAGCCAAGCGAAAGGGGGAGGAGGAGGTAAGAAAAGTTGCCTTCGGTTAGTTGATGTCGCCAGTCACTGTCAGTCAGGTGACAAAAACGTTCTGATTGTGACTTTTCAACGATTTTAGATAATTAATTGTATTTAGCGCAAAGTTGAGAACATCCTAGTACAGGGAGCTTTACGGCATCTTTCGTTTTATTTTTGAAAACAAATTATGTTGAAAGAGTAGGGCAGGCCACAGTAGACATGTTTACTGTTAAATTCGAGTGACAGTATTAATTAATACTAGTAAATACTGTATGATGTGTGATTATGATGGTATTTGGTAGACGTTGTTCTTACAGACAGTTTACTACTACACTTTGTTTGTAGCCCAGATTGAATAATTAAAACTATATGTTGCTATATCATATCTATCTGTTAGATAAGACGTAACAGTAACAGTAACTACAGTTTCACTATTAATGTCATCCTGGTTAGAATACAGCAACAACTGCCGACATAGGTTGTGCACTTAATAAAATGTGACTTGAGGCAACAGGACGCCCAAGGAAAATATGGATTGATGATATTAGGATATTATACATCCACAATACATCTACACAGAAGGACATTATACATGCTACAGAGCGAGCACTTTTAGGCAAAATGTTCCTTTTCATGTCACGTAATGGTAAAAGTTGTTGTTAAAGAAGATGTAAATATCATGCAGACAGGAGTAATCTTACAAATCAGACTCACCAGTGTATGTAGTACTATCATTCTGTAAACCTATGGCAGAAAAAGAGCCATAAACATGTAAAACTTTAATATATGTATTCTGATATGTGTTAAAAAACTATTTTCATCGTGTTGGTTCCAAAACCAGATTGTGGAGAAAGCAAAAATAGACCCACTGCCTAGTGTCATAGGAGTCAATTAATTGGAAATTTTTCTTTAAGTCAGAGTATATTTGCCTGAGAGGCAAGGAACCAAGAGTCTGTAAACAATTAAGCCCGATCTGTGAAGTGGATTTGCATGCAACATTCAGATTCTGGAACAAGACTAAAGTCTGGAGGTGGATGAACATTCAGAACTTTCCCCCGAAGTTTACAGCCAGTGAACACAAAGAAGAAGAAGACGAAGAACCATTTGAACTTAATAAATTTATGATAAAATATTAGCATACAGATAAAGGTAGTTCTGTAGCAGATACTGCTGTTTGCCCTGTGAGGTATTAGACCTTCACATATTCTCTGCCAAAATTGTTTTTCTGAAATTGACTTAGACTTGTTTTTATGAGTTTTGGTCGACTCAGTGCTGTATTTTACTAGTTAGTATAATAAAACTGCCTGTGGTAAGGATTAAACTGGCCCACTAGGGAAGACTAACCAAGACTAGAAGCTAAATGTGTCGACCGAAAGGTGCAAATATTGCAGCCATGCTGTACATGGGGCAACATCATCAGATGAATGAAGAAGAAGAGGTAGACATCATGCCCACTGTCCTCCCTGGCAAAAGAACAAAACCTCATTGTCACCATTGTTGGCTGTGAAGTATATAAGAATTAGGGATACAACAGGATCTTCATGGGCAATATAATATGAAGAATAATATATCTGGTTGACATTATCATCATCATCAGGTGCCTTGCTGACTGGGGTGGATGATCATGCCTCTCCACAATCCGCGATCTCCTGCAGCATGTATCAGTTCGTGTGCTGACACACCTCCATGCAACAAGACTGTCAATTTTCTCTGTTTGTCTTCCTCTGTCCCTCCTTCTACAGGTCTTTCCAGTGGTCATAACATGTTATATTTTCCCTCTTCTGATAACATGGCCAAAGAATGATGTCTCGTTCTGATGTCTGTGATAAGTTTCAAAACCTCTTGGTTTCTCTTTTTGGCTATCGAAGGTATTTTAAGCATTCTTCTGTAAAACCACTTCTCTGAGGCCCCAAGAAATTATTTGGCCTGCTTACCGATTGTCCAGGACTTACAGCCATATGTTAAAACTGGATGCATGTACCAAGCAAGAATTCTTTTTTCTAACCTTCAATGACAGAGGTATATTACATAAGATGTTCTTCATTCTATAAAATGACTGTCCTATTCAGTTTTTTTTATCTCAGTAATGCATCTTCCATCTGATGTTATCCATTTGCCCAGATACTTAAATTTTTTTACTTGTCCTAAAAAAAACACTAGTAGACAGCCCACACAAAAAAAAAATCCTTCGTTCCATTTTATCCCAGATTGGAGTCATAGGTATTCAGCCAGCTTACTTCAAGCCATCCTTGCTGTCTCTTTCAGCTCATTCCGTGTCCTCCAGATTTGATCAGTTTTTGCCTGTTATTCTCTTCTTTGTGTGCTTTTACACATTCTTTGATCTCTTCAGCCCTGAGGGTTCCATTGCAAAGACATTAAAGCTATGTTATTATTATATAATGTTTTGTATCCAGTAGTAGTAGTATCTTTTCCTCACCCTTATTCACTGTAATTTGTTTAGTTCTGTCACTAAAACTCCACATTAGTTGCTCTGTAATATCATTTCCTTCTATTGCATGCAGCACCAGAATGTATTTATGAGTCATTGTTTTAATCATTTGTTTTACACTTGTCTAAGAAGGCTACATATTTGATTAACGACCTACTGGTAACAGAAGGGAGCATGTAATCTTATTATTTAAAAAAAAAATCCGTACAGTAAAAGCCGTGAATTGAATGGAGTTGAGCCAGAAATGGATATAGAAAATTTCTGAGCTACTCTGCTTCCTTAATTTTTTCTTATTTGGAGCTTCAATTGCTTGTTTATTTAAAGAAAACTCTTACTTTGATTCTTTCAGAGCTTTTTTGGCTTTGGGCAGAGTGCAGAAGTCGACATAGTTTTAGATGGACAAGAGAACAGAAGACAGGTGGAGGTTAAGACAGAAGATGGCAAAAAGGAAAAATGCTATCTTTATTTTGATGGTGAAACAGTTTCAGGAAAGGTACGGTCTTGTTGTTTTGTTTGCCATTGAACCTTTCTTTAGTTATGTTACTAAAGACTAAAGAGTACTAAATAACATTTTCGATAGAAGCCTGTCCTATAGGGATCACGTGGAGGCAGTTGCAGTGAAATGCTAAAAAAGAGTCAATGCTCTCAAGAATATGGCAGCAATGGACATGGAACAAAAATTATGTTCACAATGTTCCAGCATGTGATCCTGTCGGTAATAGATTATGGCCTTGGAATGCTTACTATTGCAGATAGGCTCAAAATTCTGCAAACAAAGTCCAGAACTTTCCGCCAGAGTTTACAGCTGGTGAACGCGAAGAAGAAGAAGATATCTCAGAGTAGCTGCAGACAAGAGGCACCTCTTGCATGTTGCCCTGGGTAGATCTAAGGGTCACAGACTGAAAAGAGGAAGGTATTCGATGGCGCAAGCTGAAGACACAATCAGACATTTGTGCAGGCTTGATACATTTATGCGAGGTGAGGAGTGGGTTAAAGTGTCCGAGCAAGTTTCAGACTTGTGCAGGATTCTAATGATTTTGGGTCGTGAGTGCAGGGACTGGCCAGCTGGCCAACAAATGATTCATGACAATTCCTGCCCAAGTGATGTGATTATATATACAGATGGCTCTGTGTTGAGGGGCAGACAAAGTGCATGAGGGTTTATATTGCAGAATTGATGTTGCATTCTGACGTTGAACGAAGCACCCCACCTAGTCGCCTCCTACAACATGATTGTTAGGAGGACAGTTGGTCTACTCTGTGTGCTCCAAAATGGTGTCACAGAAACCACACATGAACCAAATATTGAAACATGAGTTTTTAGATGCCCTGGGTCTTAACTGTTCAGCCAGCCAGTCCTCATTCTGTAGAATGTTGACGTTTTCATATGTGGACTATTTTGATGATTTCTTCCTTTTGAAATGTTAGAGGTGCTTGTGTTTTGTAAGGACTTCAAGAGCTGGGCTGGTGGAAGCGTAGCTGTTCTTAGGTTTGCCAGTGAACACTCTTGCCACCATGTTGTCTTCACACAGTGTCCATAACTAAAGCAGCTGCAGATACATGCAGAGTAGGCTAGCGCTTCTTCATTGGTACCACTGCAGTTCATTGGCTGGGTCCTTTCTTTCCTCATCTCTTATTCCTGCTGTCAGAAGAGACCCTTTTTGGCATCTTGCCTTATGGTTATTGACTGCTGTCATGGTTTGGTTGGATGATGTGACATTAGAAGAGAGTTTTCTGTCCAGGAGTCCATTTTATTGTTGAATGTCCATTGTTAAGATGAATATTCGGTACAACTCATGAAAGTCACCTCATCTCGTCAGTCGTGAGATATCTTTGGAAATTTCCAGGGACACTCCTGTAGTCTATTGGGGTCATGTGTTTCTCAGTTTGAACATTTTAATGACAGCCACTGCTAACGAGCATAAAAATACGCTTAAGGCGTGTGTGACTTGCAAGACCCGCCTGCGTTAAGAAATAGTGTTCCACAATCTGAGCACGGGATTTCGGTGTTGTTGTTGCCATCACATGTATTTAGTATGCTTATTGTCAGATGTTCAGCTCTCAACCTTACCATAATACCTTTTTTTTTCTCTTTTTTATCATTCTCTTCCTGACAAAACCCCCCCCCCCCCATGCAACACGGTTCCTGGCATTTTATTTCTTATTAGATGTATCATCCTTGTCCCACTTGCATACATCTTTGTATCATAGTAGAGGGGGACCAGGACATCTTCAACCCATTTGTTGAGGATGTCTTGAGGATGCCATTCTCCATACTCCAAATCTGACCCAGCCACCTGAGCCTTCGGAGACTGATCATTGAGAAAACTGTTGTGATACCTGCTCTTTTCAATGCCTCAGTTTTTGTGATCTTGGGGATAATAAAATGAGTACCAGATAATGTCACAGGAAGCAAAGGTGGCATGATGTTTACCAGATCAGGCATTGAGTGCCAGTTCGTCTCTAAATGTATATATCTAGCACTATATGCCGAAACCTGCGTGGATTTTTATCGTGGTATCGGACGTCGCAGTCGACCCAGCCTCAAATGGGTGCCAGGATGGGCTGTCCTGGGAAAGTAAAGACGGCCGGCGTAATGCTGACCACATTACCCACCGAGTGCCGATTGGTCTGTAAAAATATGGGTGCTCTTCCCATATGCCCGATGCGCCTAAGGGTGTGTAAAGGGATCTTTACTTTTTACTTGTTTATATGCGGATACACAAAAGGCGTGAAAAGTGTCCTTTTAATATACTTTCTTTATTTACTCTACAGGTGAACATAACTTTGAAGAAAAGTGGAAAATTAGAACACCAAGGAATTAAAATTGAGTTCATTGGACAGATTGGTGAGTTATCTTGTCCTCTGCTATAGCAATACTTTTTCTTTGCATGTCATCTCTAATAAAATATATTTGAACCAGGAAAGCTAAACCAGTCAGCAAATGCCTGCAGAAATTGGATGTGTTGGCAGAAAGGCGCAAATATCGCAGCCATGCTGTAAACCGGCACAACACAGTCACATCTTCAGATGAGCGTAGAAGAAGAAAAAGAAGAATATATTTGTTTGGTTTTTACAGCACTAAAATTTCTTCTTCTTCTTGAGAGTTTTTGCTGCACACAGTAAGATAACTTATTTTAGTTTTTTTACTTAGAGAATGTACTTATTAAAATCATTTTCTTTGATATACATGCATAAAACTGCAAAACATTTAATATTATCTTTTTTCTTCTTGTGTAAAATCTCTTGCCAACAGTTGTTTGTAATTTTATTCCTGTCATCAGTTGGAGCACTGTATCTTTAAATTAGTATGGCATTTTTCTTCAGTCGCTGAGGCTTATGTCTACTCACATCACTTCCCATTTCTTCTCTGCATTGAAACTTTGACATCCTGTCTTACTATTCTGTCTTAGAAACCTTTCCTATTTTGTGTTATGCTCAGACATAATATTTTGCCTGTCTAAGGTTTTCATATTTTGGTTGTTTTATTTCCTTGCTTTTATATTCTGTCCTTTATTGTTACTGAGCAGAAACTTTATTTGGAACAGTACATTTGTTTTCTGTGTCTCTTTGTTTAGCTGCCTCAGCACATTTCAAAATTATTTGCTTTGGCTGTACATTAACTTAAATTAATTGTTGTTGCCTGATTTCTTCTTCATTTGTCAATCTTATTATATAATGTTTAATTAAGAATCAACAGCACAGCACCCGAGACATTCCCCTAAGTGCTCCGTTACCATCTTCAGCAGCTAGCACACAGTTCTAATTCTGATGGTAACAGTCTGATTGTATATCCAACTTTCACCTTAAGTGTTGATCATCGACCAGATCTTTGTTTCATGTCCATGGCTACCATAATCTTAAGTGCATTTAGTCCTTTTTGGCATTTTGACGCAACTTCCTCCACATGATCCATGAAGGACAGGCTTCTGTCCTAAGTGATGCCCAGGTACCTTAATTTGCTTTCTCTTTTGATGTTTCTATAAGTAATTGTCAGACTTGGAACATCAGCTCTTACAATTCTTTTGTCCAGAAAGCATCATAAATTTTGCCACCTTTCTGGGTTCTGACACATTTCTGCACACAAGTCGGTCATTTTGTCTACAGTTGCCTATAGTTTTTGGGCTGTCTGTTGGCTGTCTCTCCACTGCCTATATGCAAGAACATCATCTGCAGATGTGCTTAAAGTTTTGCAGTCTTGCTTGTTTACACATTGAAGAACAGTGGTGAAATTGCAGAACTCTGGGGTGGTCCCAGAACAATATTGCCTGTTTCTAAGGTACATATGCCCAGGCAGAGGGTGACTTTACTTGAATGCTGGACAGTTGCTGTCCAGTTCACCAGCCAAGGACAGACCCCCTTCTCTACGAGCGTTTAATATGAAAATATCATATCTGACTCTATTGTAGGCATCCTCAAGATCAAGGTTCACCACCACCGTTTCCTACCAATTTTGGAACCCCTCATAACCATTAAAGGCAAATATGGTCGCATTTGACCAGATTTCTTTCACTGGCCGGTAACTGTCCAGACTTCTTGGCAAGAGCTCTTTCATCTCTTAAAAAAAACCCTGCAGTTTAACAGCAATAATCTTCTCCAGCAACTTGCCAAAAGTATCTTTTAAAAATGAAACCTAGTACACTTATTTAACATTGAATTACTTATGCAGTTACAAGAGCGTTTGTGAAACTAAGGTTGAGTTTTTATGCAGCAGTCGGGAAGCAACAAGAATTGTCGGCTCTACTGGCAAATCCGGACGAAGAATAAACAGACTTGGACGACTTAGTCAGAGTTATCTCCCGTCGCCGCACTCCGAACAGTAATCGGAAAACAAACGAAACAAACGACACACTTACCTATCATCCTGCGGTTGCGTGTAGGGCTGCGTACGGTTGCGTGAGACATCGTGGCATCATCATATGGTTGCGTGCACAGTTGCGTACGGTTGCGTGAGGCACTGTGAATGGTTGTGTAGTCATCATCATGCGGTTGTTGGATTATAGTTAGGGGTAGGGGTAGGGGTAGGGGTAGGGGTAGGGTTAGGGGTAGGGGTAGGGGTAGGGGTAGGGTTAGGGTTAGGGGTAGGGTTAGGGTAAGGGGTAGGGTTAGGGGTAGTGTTAGGGTTAGGGTTAGATGTGAACATTTTGACGTAGGATTTCGAAATACTGGCCGACAATATGATGTTTGTGGGAGTGGCGCCACTGAAACTCTGCCAAATATGACGCCAATAGCGTGCGGCTGGTGCCCACAATCGTTTGCGAATTGTGCGTGTGACCAGCATCCAGAGGCCCTCGATTGTTTGTGTGTGTGTATGGGACTGTGCGCGATTATAGGGAACTCCGGCGTCAAAACTGTCAAATCTAACGCTAATCCTAACCCTACCGCTAACCCTAATCCTAATCCTACTCCCTAACCCTAACCCCTACCCCCCTAACCACGCAAATTTATCGATCATTAAAGCATACAAATCGGCAAACACGAACAAACAAAACACACCCACACAAAAAAAAAAAACACCCAGAATTGTCCTGCAGCGTCGAAAAAAAACCCAGATCTGGGGGAAACAACCAAGCATTGGCAGCCCTGATGTCGACGTGACTGTCTTCTTTGTTTCGTTGTGGCTTTTCCGATCACTGTTTGGAGTGCGGCGACGGGAGATAACTCTGACTAAGTCGTCCAAGGCTGTTTATTCTTCGTCCGGATTTGCCAGTAGAGCCGAATTGTCTTAAATTATATGCTAACATTTAAAAATTGAGCAGAAGAGAAATGATAAGTGATATCATAAAAACATTCTGTACTTGTGTAAAGGGGCTATGAATGTATGAATATACAAAAATTAGAGCCTGTACATACAAAAATGGTGGTTTTAGACTTGTCCAAACAAATCCAAAATGGCCGCTGTTTATCTTGGTTTCCATAGCAGTCATTGAGTGCACAGTCAGTTTGACAGTATTATTTCGATCTGAGGTCTTTAATATAAAACCCTGTACCATACCAGAATGTAGAAATTAATAACATTCAGAGAATCAGTGGGAATTATTTTGGCCAAACCTGTGTTGTGTAAACAAAAAGATATAGAGGTAAGTTTAGGCTTCCATGGTGAGTTGGGCTGTGTAACTAGCGACTACGGTGTTTGGAAATTTGTGATCTTTTGGCAATTTCCGTAACCATGGAAACCGTTCGAAACTTGTTTCGGAAATGTCGGCTGGGGTTTCGGGATGGGTCCTAATCTCTCATGAAATTTCGCAATTGGTGTGATTTTCACCAGCTATAAATAGCTGAAAACGGCAGGAACGAACCCGATTAACAGCGCATGTCTGCGACAGCCGGACGTCCTCTGTTTTTCTGTTACATCAGTTTGATTGAAAATAGCGATAAGTATTCAAAGTTGGCTTTAGGCTTTAACTGTTACTAGACATGGTAATGCTAGTTATAATTGAATTCTCCGTCCAATTTTACATTTGTGTATAAAATTTCTTTCTTATCAGTGGCTAGTTCGATTTACAATGACATTTTTCAGACAATCGCTATTATGTGGCTGTGTCTGAGAAAAATTGTCTGCCATCTTGTCCAATGAAAGCAAAGCCAAAATGAAAGTGCGCAGTTTGGTTGCGCAGAGAAAACTTCTTGTTTCTGGGAGACAAGTTTTAGCAGCTGTTTTTTACATCTCATCTCCACAAAAACCTACATATCTCAGCTCAGAAATGACATACAAGCCTAAATGAGGTACCGTTGGAAAGAGATTGTTTACAGCTATCTAACTGTGCTGGTTTTATTGGTGTAGAGGGCATTTTAAAAATTTGACTAAAGTATCTAGTGTAACAAGATATAGTTTGATCTATGTATTTCAGACAATTTGACTGTGTACATTTCAGGTAAAAAGATTTGTTGTTTATGCTTCATATGTTGTAAAATCTGTAGTGACACACTTGACAAAGTACACTGAAACTGCCAGGTAGTAAATTGTTTGTTCCCTGAATATATGTGTTGGTATTCAGTTTATTTTAGTGTGACATAATATGGAGTGTGTTTCTGATGTACATTGTTTATGTAAGCAAACTGGTTTATCTCAGTGCTGCTGTATTTGTTTCTTCAGAATTGTACTATGATCGGGGAAACCATCATGAATTCACTTCCCTTGTCAAAGAGCTAGCTCGGCCAGGAGAGCTGACTCAAAGTACCAGTTATAATTTTGAGTTTTCCCAAGTAGAGAAACCTTATGAAACTTACACAGGAGCAAATGTGAGATTAAGGTGAGATTACTTACAGCAGTTGATATATTCTTGCTGAAAATATATATAATTAATGGATTTACATGAGAGTTTCGGGGGGGGGGGGGGGGGGGGGGCTGAATTTAATACCCTGTATTTTGTTAATTTATAATTAAAGACTTTGTAGTTGAGAATTTAACTAACAATTAATAATAAATTAAGAAAAGTTATAAAACATTTTGTGATCACATTCTTATATAGTTAATGACATTCTATACGTCTCTATTTCTTCTTCTGCATTTGCCCTTACAAAATCAGTTTACATGTTTTGTTGTTTACAGCTAGGCTGTGGCGTCTGTGCCTTTCAACCCAACACGTCTGCTGTCAGCAAATCTTTAATTAGTCACCTTATACGAAATGCTTATTAACAATTTTGCCTCAGAATAAATGGTAAAAGGAGCCATAAACACAAGGTTCCTGAGAGAAAAAAAAACAGTAAAAAGATCTTTTTTTAATTAAAAAAAAATGTAATAAATAAAACAATGAAACACATAGTAGAAAATTAAATGTTGGTTGACACATCAAAGCAGCACAAATAATGGCAGCTGAACCATATTTGAAAAAAAATATAGATTTATAGTTGACCGCAGTGTCAAAAAATGGGCTTTTGTGGGAAAGAGTTAAGGGATACATGTTTATTCTTGTCTTCCCTAAAATATGTGTATAGAACCAACACTCAAACTATACTTTGTTTTTGTTATTCATTGAATTCTGACAGCTCGACCACACATAAGCATCTGTCATTTTTGTATAGTTGTCATCACAAAAGATATTTAAATTTAACTCATTCTTTATATAACTCACTTAAAGTTCAAACTCAGAAAGTTATTCGAAAACCCTAATCTTTACCTGATAGTTATCACATAACTTCTTTTCTTTTTCTTCTTCTTTGTGTTCACTGGCCATATATTCCTGCCGAAAGTTCTGGTTGTTGTCCATTTCTGGACCTTGGTTTTGTTCCAGAACTTGATTTTTACATGTACATCCATTTTACAGATCTGGCTGATTTGCATGCATATCATTTCTTGCCTCTCATTCTGATACACCGTAACTTCCAAGGAAACACCATAATTAGTTGCCTTTTAAGATTGATTCTTCATTATCCACTAGCCCAGTCCGTACAGCGTTGATGAAATTTGCTCTGTCCATGCTTCCACATGCCTTAGTGCAGTGCTTGCCAGTTGGTCCGCTGGCTTATTTCCTTTTACACCAGGTGTGTAGATCCAGGTGAGGGAGGTAAAGTGCAATATTCAAATGCTTTCTACCCATTCAGAGTGCATACTGCCTGTTGATATCTTCTGAAGCATATTCTTGGAGTCTGATACAATTACTGCCTGTGTGGCGGTTTGCTCGGATACCCAACTTTGAGAGTTATGGGTGTGGGGGGTATTCGTTTAACCCCTTAGGATTTCAAAGATTTTACTGTAAAAATGCACAACCAACCTAGGCGACATATGGTGTTGAAGCTGAACTGAGAGTTAAGAAGTCTGTCCATTTCATCTGTAGGTATTTCTTACGGGTGACAGTTGTCAAGCGCATCTCAGATACAGTGAAAGAGCAAGATATTGTGGTGCACACTTTGTCCCAGTATCCTGAGATGAACTCCAGCATCAAGATGGAAGTGGGAATTGAAGACTGTCTGCACATTGAGTTTGAATATAATAAATCCAAGTAAGTAGCTCAACTCCGGTTCTAAATAGCATCTCATCATCACCATCATCATCATTTTCATCATCATCATCATCATTGACCTATAATGTCATTATTTGTCACAGAGGGCTCACAGTCTGGTCCTCCATTCTGTTCTGTCTTGTACAATCCTCTTGATATCATGAAAGAAATCTAGACCATCTCTTTTGGCCTCTTTTATTAGTGTTCGCTTTGAGATTTCTTTTAACTCTCCTCATTTCCTCAATCTATTTGCCTCCCTATTTGAGTGCCTGTTTGGTAATTCTTCACTCTCAGGACTTGCCCAACATTGTTCCAAATAGCATAGTTTGAGAATAAATCTATTAATTGACAATATGAAATCCATGATGGATTGATATTCATGAGAAAAATTTGAGGATGGTGATACAGAATTTGTGTAAGTATCTGCAAGTTGTGGGAGAACAGGGGGTGACCTTAGACACACCGTCCTGTTTGTAATATAGATGAGATTGACATTTAGCATGGCTGAAAATGAACACAGAAGAAGTCAGTACCTGCAGCTGTAGGAGTCACGATAGTGTAATAATTTTCTTTGCATTCACTGGCTGTAAATTCCAGGGGAAAGGTCTGGATGTTCCTCCTGTTCCAGAACCTGAGATGATTGAGATGTCATTTGTATGCAGACTGCTGGTTCCTGGCCTCTCGGGCAGATGCACTCTGACTTCAAAGGAAGCTATCAATTAGTGAACTCTTGCAACATGCTTTTGGGTAGGCAGAGGGTCTATTCTTGTTTTCTCTGTACTGGGGCTCCAGAACCAACATTGGGATATAGTGTAACGGCTGTCACTTTTGCATGCATGTCTATGCAGGCCCAAAGTCATATTCTACCTCCAGGTAGTAATCTGTTTCACTGCGATTTGTCCAAGACATTTTCTGTCTTAGTCTATCTGTCTATCCCTCTTCCCCCTTAACTTTTCTGTTTTTTCCTGCATTAAAAAAAAAATTAATGTGAAAATTTAATGAAGTGTTGAGTAGAGACATTCTAGTGTGGCAGGGAAATGGAAATTAGAACAGCTGTGATTAAAAACTAAAGTATTACTGTTAATAGGCTGCCATATCTAATTCTTCAGCATTCTGTGCCCTTGAGGTTCATTGTTGAAGAGGTCTCCTCCTGCCTCCAGTCATCTCTGTGATTGGTTTTCTCATTCTGTTTGGTGACTCATAAGTATTTGTGTGTCTGCGCCTGTATTTCTTCTTTATACCTTCTTCTTGGTCTGCCTCATGGTCTACTCCTGTTCAACTCACCTGGGTTAAAATTAAAATTAGTGATTTTTAAATTAACATCGTTTAGAGATGATCTACAGCAACTGTTTTTTTTTCTTCCGGATCTATTTTGAACCTTATTTTACTGTTGCACACTTTGCTGCTGAAGATACCACTTGAAAGATGTCATCGTTGGTAAGATTTATTTTCTCCTCGTAAGAATCAAAATTCGGTACATGGAACTGGCAATAGTCCGCCGGGAAACCACAGGAGGAGGTAATCACAGCTCAAAATAGAAATCCCTGATAGCAGGGAGATGATATTTGAAACTGTATTAATTGTTGTATTATGTGTGATCTCATTCACTTTTCATTTTTGCTTACTATGCTTCGCTTTTTAGGTGGATATCTTATAGAATGCGTTGTTGGAAGTGATGTTACATCGTTGTTGTTTAATAGAAAATTTTTAGGGAGCAAGAAACGGTTTATTTTGTAAAAATAAAATAAAATATGGAATATACACACACACACACACAATCTCTCTCTCTCACTCACTCACTTACCCACCCATACACCTCACCTCACTCGCTCGCTCACTCACTCACTCACTCACTCACTCACCCTAAGAAGGCTAAATCTAGCCACTTTCCGTTGTGAGATAGACCCATAAATGTCAAAAAGTCTCCATTTCTGCAGTGACCTGTTCTCAAAAAGCTTAGTTAAATGCCATTGGTTCTGTATACACCTGCAAAGTGTTTACGAGGCCCGGATGGGATTATAAATTGAGCATTTAGAGGGGTTTCCTTGTGCTTTTTTTAAAAGACAGGTTCAATTTAAATTTTTCTGTAGGCTTAATGATAAAGGTCACGGGGTGAGTCACTTGGTCGTATTAAGGGCAAGAAAAATTAATTCCATCTGATGCTTGTAATCTTTATATATTTCGAAACAAAAATTTAACAAGTTTAAATTAATTTATTTTAAGAATTCTTCTTCTCCGCGTTTGCTGGCTATTAACTCCAGCTGAAAGTTTTGTTTGTTTATTCACGTCTCGACTTTTAGTCTTGTTCCAGAACCTGAGTTTTATGTGTACATCTGTTTTATAGATCTAGCTGTTTTGTATGCAGACTGTTGGTTCCTTGCCTCTCAGGCAGATGCACTCCTACTTCAAATGAAACACACCAAATCAGTCGACTCTTTCGACACGCTTGTTAGAAGACAGTACTTTTCCCTCCACAATGTCCCAGAACACACACAAGGATTTTAAGAGGATTTATTTGTTCTTCTTCTTAAAGTCTGTGCCGTGTGGTATTGGTAGTTATATCCATCCACAACTTTCTGTCTTGTGTACTTTCAACTCTGACACAGATGATTCTCCTTTAGTTACCTCTGTAAAATAGTTTTTCCCAGAAAGTCCCACAGGGACCATAGGGTCATGCCCCATTTTTTTTAAATTGCTGTGTTTATGGGTTAATGGCTTGAGCTGAAATGTGGGATAAGGGCAGCAGAGAAAAATAAGAAAGCACAGAAAGTTGTTACAATTTTTTTTTTCCAAAGTACATATTGTTAGTTTATGATACACAATCAATTGTCTGTTTTGCTGTTGTGTTTGTGAAACATACATCTATGTATTCATTGTATCATTAAAAGTTTTATTGTTTTAATTGTGGATGCTGTCCTATTTTGTTGTTGACTGTTACAGTACTGTTAGAAGCGTCTAGTTAGCACATTTGCCTAGGTTATGCTTTCGTCTTCAGTTTTTCATGTTAAAACTTTTTTTTTTTTGGGTTTGCTTTCTGTTGTTACTTGTAGAAGTGCCATAATTATAAGGCATATTTTAAAAAATAACTTTGGCTTCCAGGTCGACCCAGCCTTAAATGGAAGCCAGGTAAAGTCCTGAGAAGTAAAGGCAGTCATCAGGATATTGACCACATCACTCACCAAGTGCCGATCGGTCTATAAAATCTTCTTTTTCTTTGTTCACCAGCTGTTAACTTCAGTGGAAAGTCCTAGTTGTTTGTTATTTGGACTTTGGCTTTGTGCCAGGACCTGCGTTTTATGTGTACATCCATTTAACTGGCTTATTTGTGTGCAGTTGGTTGTTCCTTGCCGCTCTTGCAGATGCAGTCCGACTTTGAAGGAAGTTCCCAGTTTGTCAGCTCCTAAGACATGCTTGCTGGGATTGTTTTCCCCACAATGGGACCCGAAACCCACACGGGAAGTCTGTAAAATATAAGTCTAGCTCTGTATGTCCAGTAGGCCTGACTGTGAGGAAAAGGGTCCTTTACTTTTATTATGCAGTAAGTAAAAGTAAGCAAAGGACCTCTTTCATGCCATTGAAACATCAGGCAAATGGTGTTTGACCCATATTTCTATTCGCCTTTGATGGCTGATGTGGTCTTTGCCTTGCAGGACATTTCCCGGTACCCATTTAGGCTTGGTCTATCTGGAAGCCAAGCTTAATCATAACAATGCTGCCTCAGTGTGGATTCAAACTTAAGTTCTTCAGGCATTTGTCTTGCTACTGCAGTTCTCTGGGAGCAGCCATGGTGTAGTACCTAGTTGCTCGCCTGCAGATCTGAGGGTTGTGGGTTCAGGGCCTGACGGTGCCAGACTTTAAAAACAAAAATGACCTTGGCTCCCAAGTCAACCCAGCTTAAAGGGCACCAGACAAAGTCCTGAACGGTAAAATTGGCCAGCGTGATGTTGACCACATAACCCACGGAGTGCCGAATTGATCAGAAAAAAAGTCGTTCCAGCCCTATATGCCCAATACACCTGAAGAAGTGGAAAAGGGTCCTTTACTAAAAAAAAAAAATAAACTTCACTTAGTGCGCCTTTAATGGCTGATATGCTCTTTGCTTTGCAGGACATTTTGTTGTACCCATTTTAGGCTTGGTAGTCATCAAGCTACTGTGGTTCTCTCTTATGAAGTAGTGAAAGTATACTATAATATGGTGTACATAATTCAGAAATTAAATGGGTTCATTTAACGTATCCCGGCTCACGGTGAGAGTGACTTCCAGGTGTTATTTTACCCCATTCTCTCCCAAGTATGCTGTTATGCAATTCCCTGTTATGAAACAATGAAATCATACTATATAGTGTGCAGCATTCAGAATTTGAATGACTACAGATGATCAGGCATATGCTATTAGTTAAAAAAAAATATAGAGGAATTAGCCATTCAATCCTTGATAGTTTTATAAACTCTTTCATTAGTAAAAGAAAGTTATAGAGGAATTTAGTTATTCAGTCCCCCTGATAGTTATCTTAACTCTTTCACTACTCAGCAGGTGTTATTTTTACCCCTTTATCTCCTAAGAGGTTGTCACTTGCAGCAATTTTTTCAGTTTCACTGCAAATCTAGACTCTTCCCTTCCCCACCAGTTTGTCAGATTTACTAAGATAATAAGGTGATCAGATAATCACGTTCCAAATTCGTAGCAAACAGTTCACCTCCAAAGCTGCTCCGTTCCTGTGCCAAAACCATGGGAACCACACAGAATGTCCGTCACTGTCCCTTGTGAAGAAAATCGACACAGACTGCAGTCCTTGCAAATCTAACAGAATACGCATGCATTTAATGCATAAGGCAACAATCAGAAGTGCCAAAACAAACAGTCCAACAATAGAAATGCAGTAATTAGGTCTTCATTTCTTTAAGATTGTTCTTGATGCAGTTGTTCTATTTGTGTGGATGGTCTTTTCTCTGCTGTCTTCATTATTTTGTTTTTCCAGCATGGTTCTCTGTGGCTGTTGGTAGCAGAACAGTCTTGTCATATGATCAAACCATTTCATCTATCAGTTGTTAATGAGTTGTTTGACTGGTTTCAGTCTTAGTCTTCTTGTTACCTCTTCATTTTAAATGTTGTCTCTTATTTTTACTCCAGTACTTCCCCTAAAACATCATATCTCTGTGGTTACAAAGAAATCAAACTCCTCATTGGTAACAACATTTAGAATACACAGCAAAGTTGATAAACAGACTGTTATATCATTAAGTTCTGTAATAATTGTCAGTTTCTTTCACATGTACAAGTAATAAAACCAACCATAACACGGTTTAATTTAGAAAAACATTTTGACTTTGGGATTGAATTAAGCCATATGTTTAGCCACATGAGGATCTGTTGTTACAATGTATTGATGAAAATGCTTAGAATTCATAGCAAAATTGATAAATAAACTGTAATATTGTAAAGCAGTTTGGTAATAATTTTCCCCAGATATAGAGTGATAAAACCAGTCATATAGAGGTAAACTTTGTTTTAGGATTAAAACCATAAGAAAAAAAAAATACAAAATAATTGATAAAATGTTTCTCCTTCTAAGTTGAAGTACATTTGCCTGAAAGGCAAGGAACCAGCATAACTGCATACAAATGAAGGATCCTTTTCTGTGCCTTTAGGCTGTTAGGCATACAGAGCTACGCTTCTATTTTATAGACCATTAGGCCATTCAAGGATGATGTGATCATCATGATGGCTGCCTTTACTTCCCAAGACTTTACCTGGTACCCATGTTTGGATGTATGAATCTCAGATCTGAGTTTTTTTTTTAAAGTCCTGGAACAAAGCCAAAATCCAGAAATAGGTGAACAATCAAGACTTAACATCTTAAGGTTTACAACCAGTGAACACAAACAAACGACAAGATATTTAGTTTGAGAGAGCAGTAATAAAAACTATTTAGATCAGTGATTTGTGTTTATGTTTTCTTGTTTGCACCTTTTTTATGGCACTTCTAGATGCTAGAGATATTAGATCTTTCAGTCATTTTTTTGTAGTTTGATGTTTCGGTGTTTTATCAGTGTATTTCGTTTTGCAGTATTTTTCTTTTCTGTTTGCATTGGTTTACAGATATCATTTAAAAGATGTGATAGTGGGTAAGATTTACTTCTTGCTGGTGCGAATCAAAATCAAGCATATGGAACTGCAAGTGATAAAACGTGAGACTACAGGAACAGGTATTTGCTAATTATGAGAGATATTGTTCTTTGATGCATACACCTTTTTTTCTGAGAAACATCATTCTTAGACAATTCCTTGATGGGGTGGGTGGGCAGAACTGATTGAAACCTGGAGAAACAAGTCGTTGAGCATATTCTAGTGCCGATGAACAGAGCAATACAAGTACAAATAAAAATGAAACGAACAATAATTTAACAAACATGACCCAGGTGACCAGTCAGAAAGATTGACCTTCTTCAATTGCGCACCACCTTTTGAACTCTGGACATGTTTTAATCAAGGCCAACACATTTTTGAATTCTTCATACATAGTCCATTAGCAGAGCAGCAAGATTTCTTGAAGCCACCACTATTCGTAACCTTCATCCAGAACTTTTTAATAGGGCATTTTTCCAGGATATAACAGGTGCTGGTAATTGCCACAAAGTGTCTGTAGAAAGCTGCTGGTACTTGCCAGAAAGTGTCTTTTACAACAGTGCTGGACAAAAAAATTATAGACCCACTGCTGCCCTAACACAGGGCTGTAAAGACAACTGACTAGGGCAGAGCTGTTAAACTGGCGGCCTCGCAGGTCATTGCCTTATGTATTGTGTTAATGATCTTTCTGTGCCGAAGCTATGACCTCTGGTCCCTGGTAATAATATACTGCTTTGCTCCCTGAGATTTCTTCTGAAAGGGAACTTTCACAGATACACACAACTGTTTGACTTCACATGTTACTTTATAATGTTACCTTTGGAAATAGACAATGAGAGGAGGTTATCCTATGCTGCATGTGACAGTGTTTGCTTTTTGATGTTTCCTTTGCAGCTGGATAATGTATTTTATAATTTCATTATTATTTAGTTTCATGTATTAGATTGAGTTGGTTGAAATCCTTTCACGTGTAGGCAGCACTAAATAGAACCTACTTTGTAGAACAAATGTGTGTATTTATTTATTTGTTTTATTTCTGTATTATTGGACCTTCTTCTGCTAAAAAAAAGTATATATTTGATAATTTAATGTTACAAAACGCAGAAGAAGAAAATGATGAAAATACCAGTTGTTGGATGGCAGAGCAGGGGAGTTTCTGATAAAACTCAGCTCTGGCACAGAGGATGGTGTAACCAGTGTGCTCTACACCAGTGATTCCCAAACTGTGCGGCAGCGCCCCTGGGAGCCGCAACCTCTTTACAGGGGCAACGCAAAATATTAGTAGATGCACACGTTTAAAAAAAAAAAAACTCTTACATACGAATAGTCATACTTTTAGTTAAGTTAGGGCGCCGTAACATTTTTTGAAAAAGGCACCGCGACTAAGAACAATTTGAGAAACACTGCTCTACACCACTGGTTCCATTATATAAGGCCTGTTAACACCTCTTATTTTTAAAGATTTGCCATGGACTCCCTACTTGTTAATATTTGTATACAGAAATTACAGTGGTGTAGTTGATTGCTACTACATAAGAAATATTGAATACATATAAGACAGCGGAAGACCAAGGAAGAGATGGATAAATGGTGTAGCCAAAAGCTGCAAAAAATTAACAAATCCATTGCCCAAGCCACCTGAGAAGTGCAAGAGAAATATAGAAAAACCACGACACTGGGCTAAAACTTGGTATCAGTGAGATGACACAAGAAGAAGAAGATATACAGATATTTACATGCATAAATGTCAGTCCCTTAACAACAAGTCTGTATCCATCTAACCTTTCGAAGGAATGATGTTATGAAATGTCTGTGCGATTGGCTCAGAACAGCAGTCAGTCAAACTTTCTATGCTGCTGTGCCTTTTATCAGGTTTCAAACAATCCGCTGCCAACGCCTTCAGTGAAAAAACAGTTGTCGACATGTGCCAGATCAAATTGTATCTATCAGTTTAAATGCAGCTGTGAAGCTGTTTAGGTGGGCAGAACTGATCGACACCTGGAGAAACGAGTAGCTGAGCATATTCAAGTTGTGGGTGGACAGAGCAGTGCAAGTACAAATCAGAATGAGAATAACAGCAAAAACAATAATTTAACAAACATGACCCAGGTGACCAGGCCAGAAAGATTGACCTTCAATTGCGCACCACTTTTTGAACTCTGGACCTGCTTTAAACAAGGCCAACACATTTTTTAATTCTTCATATATAGTCCAGTAGCAGAGCAGCAAGATTTCTTGAAGCCGCCACTATTCGTAACCTCTGTCCAGAACCTCTCAATAGGGCTTTTTCCCAGGAAATAAAAGGTGCTGGTACTCACCACAAAGTGTCTGTAGAATGGTGCTGGTACTTGCCAGAAAGTTTTTTTTACAAGTGCTGTGTATATAATGTAACATACCCCTTATATTTGTTACATTGACACCAGTGGGACCAGCAGTTTAGAACCACTGCACTACAGCAGCAATTACCCAACATAGCCTTTGACCCCTGCTGAGAGCGACAGCTCTTTTAGGTTTCCAGATATTAGGTAATAGGTGATTTGATGAACAGTGGATTATAAGACTGGATACCCAGTTATTGCTTTACTTGTTGAGGCTATATTGATTTGTAGATAGAATGATAATGGATGAAATGAGAGAGGATTGGAGGGACTGAATGGATGGATGAATGTATAGGTGAGTTAGGTAGAGGTGGTTGGATAAATGAATGTTTGGATGCATGAATAGTTGATAATCTAATCAGGTTTAGCGATGCACGCAAGCAATATTTTAATAAATAACCATTTATTGTTGTGCCATTTATATGCCACACAGGGCTTGCAGTCAATTACTCCATTGTGTTCTATATGTGTGCATATTATTATATAAATATATACAAGATGTTTGAAAGGCTATAAGGGTGAGGGGATAAAGTGCAATTACACTGTTTCAACCCCTCTAGCATGATATTTGCAGAATGGTGAGCTGCCTGCTAAGAGCATTAAATAAATAACAAACTCTGTATCTCCAGCTTCTTTTTCTTTTTCTTCTTCTTCTTCTTCTTCTTCTTCTTCTTCTTCTTCTTCTTCTTCTTCTTCTTCTTCTTCTTCTTCTTCTTCTTCTTCTTCTTTGCTTTCACTAGCTGTAAACTCTGGCACAAAGTTTCTGGAATTTTGACCACTTTTGAAATTTAGTCTTGTTTCAGAACTTGAACTTTGCATGTGCATCCGCTTTACAGATCTGGTTTATTTTTAACCAGACTGTTGGTTCGTTACTTCTCAGGCAGATACACTCCTTTATTAGAAACATCCCAGATTAGTTGACTTTTACTACATGCTTGTTAAAAGGGCTATGGGTCTATTCCCCCACCCCCCCCCCCCCACCCCAAATGCCACACTACTTTGCAACAGAGACAGTCTCACCCCACAATAATAACTATGCATGCATTATATAATGTTATAAAACATGAGTATATTAATTATTAATTCTGTTTGCATTTGAAGGTCCTAACACATTCAATGAAAATGAAACAATAGCAAAGTATGAGATCATGGATGGTGCTCCAGTGCGAGGTAGGTTAACAAGATGTTTTTAACAATGTCACTGAAGGATTCGCTAGGTTTGTTTTATAATTCTTTGTTGGGGATAGTTGAACTACGGAGTTTGTGCTCTCTGCGGTGCTCTCGGCAGGTTGCTAGTCGTTTTTTGTGGAGAGAGACTATGGAATAAAACCCGGTGCAATAAAGTGGATCCTCTCGACTTTAACCTTTAACCTTTTACCTTTGTAACTCTTTCTATGCTAGACAGTAAGAGCAATGTCTGGACAACCACTGGTATCAACAGTTATAAGACAGAGAAGATGGCTTTGTATTGGGGCACATCCTGAGAAGGGGTGAACAGTGAATCACCCAACAGGCACTGAAATGGGAAACAAATGGATTGAGGAAATGAGACGTCCAAGAGAAACCCTAAAATGAAGGTTATGATGAGAGATACCAAAGGTGCTGGACTGAATTCCATCTGTGGTAATGAATGGATTGCACAGAATAAAACAGAATGGAGGAGTAGACTGCACAACCTATATGACATAAGATGGTACAACATTATGATAAAGATGATGATCCCAGACAATTGTCAAACAAATACTTTACCTGAATGTTTCTGGGAAGATAAATTGGCAGTTAATTTTATTTGCCTGATCCTTTCAGTTTCTTCTTCTCCTTCTTCATTCACCTGCTGTGAATTTCGGCGGAAGGTCCCGGTTAATCGTCCGCTTGGACTTTTGGCTTTTACCTGGACCTGAGTTTTGCATGTACAACCATTTTACTGGCTTTTGCCGTTCCCTGCCTCACGGGCAGATGTACTCCGACTTCGAGGGAAGACGTCAGGCCTATTTCTAGGATGACTGTGGCCATTTCTTTTGTGTGGGTCGAGATGTGACCTTATTTGTGTGGTGTCCTCTTTGTCCCTTTCTCCATAGGTGTTGCCCCCGAAGTACTCCATTTGGGACAGCCCTGTGTGGAACGGTTGGCCCTCAAGGGAAGGCAGGGGCAGATCATGGGCATTCCCTTCCATCCAAGGAGGCTTCCATAAATGCAGAGCCTGCACATAACGCTCTGGTTCTTGGCTCACCCAAGGAATCGTCACGTCCTGCACATAACTGCTTGCTCACAACCGTATTAGACTTCCTGCTGCACATAGGCTGTGCCCTCCGGAGATCAGCGGGAAGCAGTCCGTGGGTTCTGGACTTTTGTGACCACACGAACAGGTACTATCTTTTTCGTCGCACGATTGTCATCTTTAACGTGCTATTAGCACGACAGAATGGAGAATCATGCATCAGCCATGTCTTTATCTGTTTGGTCCCAACACTCGAGCGAGTGGGGTCTCGGGATGTGGACATTTGGACTTTTTCCGGTCAATACGATTTATAATGGTCGAATTTTGAGCTTGCTCGTGTGCAGTAGGATCAATTTTTGTCAGAGATTTGGGCTTAACCGGCCGATGGATGGTTGCTGTCATGGTGCACCTCAGCGCGGTGGCAACGACACTGAGGGTTGACAGAGGATGTACATGGGTAGAATCTTGCTGTGAGATGCCACCCCCAGGAGATGTTACTCGTCTGTGCTGCCTGTAAATCTCTAGGTCCTTGGTTAAGTCTCAGCAACGCAATGTTCTCTTCACCCTGCAAACTTTTAACCGAATGTTGTCATTTTAGTTGTACGTTTGGCAAGCACTTTACTCATGTTCCTAATGAGTTTTGATAAGCTTTTCACCCATGCGTTCGGGGGCGGGCTGATGAGAGCCACAAGGACACTACACTTCTGGGGGCCGCCAACTCCGAGATCCCCTGACAGCTCTGTTAATGCTCATTTGAGACATTATCCGTGGCGCACGATGAGGACGTGCTGCAGGAGTCTTGCGTGAGGTTCCGTAAAACCAGAATAGTGCAGGACTGGCGCCCTAATGACGTATGGAGTAACTCCTTATGCACATCAGGTTGGGCTTAACTTTACCTCACGCCTGTGACAGAATCACCGCGCCACGATCCTTTCAGTAAGAAAATAACAGATTTATGGCACTTAATTTTATTTGCCTGATCCTTTCAGTAATAAAATAACAGATTTTTTGGCAGTTAATTTGATTTGCCTGATCCTTTCAGTGAGAAAATAACAGATCCTTGGCAGTTAAATATATATTCCTAATCCTTTTAGAGAGAAAATAACAGATTCTTGGCATATAATTTTATATTCACAAAATCTAGCTTTCACTACGTCAGTTCACCACCAAATGGTGCAGAACTGGCCAGTTTTTTCTGCCTGCTCATTTCCTAACACACTGGAGTAAGCTGGAGAAAATATAACGCCAGGGTCATCTACAGATACAAAGGACAGCAAGCATTATATACACTGAAAATTGTATGCCAGTGACATCATGCAAAGGGAAAGGGGAAGCATGTTTGGAGAGATTGAAAGAAAATAACAGATAATTGGCATTTTTAATTTTATTCCCTTGATCCTTTTAGGGGAATCAATACCTATAAGGCTATTTCTCAGTGGCTACGAATTGACACCGACGATGAGAGACATCAACAAGAAGTTCTCAGTAAGATACTACCTTAACTTGGTGTTGGTGGATGAGGAGGAGCGGCGCTATTTCAAGCAGCAGGTTTGTCTGACTTGTTTGATGTTGGTATGTAGGATACTGCCAGTGTTGGTTCTGGGGCCTCTTCGTCTTCTTCTTCTTTTTTAAGTCCATGCCATGTGGCATTGGTAGTCATGTCAGTTCAAAACCTTCTGGTTCGTGTACTTTCAATCAACTCTTGACACAGATAATCCTGCATTCCATGATGTCAAACTGTCCAATATCTTTTCTCTTGGTCTCTCTTTGCCTCCCCTCCCCTCCAACTTCTCCTACAATGTACTCCCCATTTGGGTAGAAAAATAGACCTGCTATCCCCCCCCCCCCCCCCCAACCCCCTAACCCCAACAAATATGCTGTAAAAAAGTGACTAATTAGCAGTGTTTGGGACTCAAGTCACAGAACTTGTACTTGAGTGCGATGTAAATAATTAGCAACTCGACTTGGCTTTGCCCCTGTGGGTTCCAGTGCAAAGGCATTCTAGTAATATTGTTTTCAGGTTTTCTCAACAAATAGCATTTCGTGACTTGTAGCTTCAGTGACTTGGTATGACTTGTTCTTCATGGCCGGCATCTGTAAACTTTGGTGATAACATCACAATTTAAAACGTCTTCATTTAAAATGGGACAGAATAAATTATGTTTTGATTTATTTATATTTCATTTATATATAGATTATTTATATTTCACAGTTGCATACAGAATCAAATCTGACAATTGTTGGTTGTTTTGGTTTAATAACACGAACTAGTCTAATCCATATAAGCATGTCAGGATCTCTGTGGCAAAGCCATTTGCCTCGTGCTCTGGAATTCATGGGTTTGTTTCACGGCGGCGCTGCTTTAAACGAGTGCAATATTTACGGAGATCTCTGGGGATAATTGCGGGAACTATGAAGGTAATTCTCTGTGCACTGCTCTTGGCAGGCAGCTAGCTGTTCTGAGGAGAGAGACTGAGCCATGTGGGATAAAACCTGGTGCAATGAAGTTGATCTTCTCAAGCCTAAATCATCTAGCTAAGGAAATTCTGAAAGTCATACTCTTCACTACTAAACCAAAAATGTGCATCCGAAGAGCTATTTTTCTATCTCTGGTACTCAGAATTTTTGACATTCACCATTTAAGCATCCATTCCAAACCTGCAAAACAAAGATGCGGAGCCCACTTTAGTAAAGAAAGCATTCACAATGGAACACCTCAACAACATGTTTCCACAGGACAGCTGGACGAGAATCTACATGGGTGGATCAGCAAAAGAGGCAATTACGATTGGTGGGGCAGGTGTTTACATTAAACACCCAGATACCACTACTGTGTCCCTGGCAGCCCCCACAGGACGAACTTACTCTAATTATAAGGCAGAGCTCATCCCTACTGATGGCAGCACAGTATATGAACAAGCTGCAAATCACCACAGGCAAGATGGTTTTACAGTATGCTAACGGGCCCTTTTTTAAGGGGCGAACACAAAAGCAGTATGAAAGATTAATGGCCCTGTTTCCAAACTAATGTGGCATGTTGGGACTGTAGTTTTTGATAAAGGTCATGTGAACAACCAAGACAGTTACTAATAAACTACAAACATTCATTAACTGGTGCCTGTGCAGAATAGTGAGAAATAAATGGTATGATAGAATAGCTAATGTAAAGCTTTGATAAAGAACTAAACAAGTTCCATGGACCAAGAGGTGAAGAAAAGACGCTGGCGTTGGATAGGGCATATGTTGAGAAAACCTGAAAACAATATTTCTAGAATGCCTTTGCACTGGAACCCACAGGGACATAGAAATAAACAAAGACACACAAAAAACATGGAGATGGGAGCTAGTCAGTGAAGTTTAAAAGATGGGGAGGACATGAAGAGAGATGCTTGCTGTAGCGAAGGATAGAACGAGTGAGTTGGTAGATTCCTATGCCCCATCTAAGGGTAGAAGGCAGAAGAAGAAGAAGTGGAAATTATTCTTAAAGTTACTTTACTTCATCACAGGACTTGTAAAAAGTGGATATCATCTTAGCCAATCAGTGTTCAATAGAAGATGTGGCCAGTATATTTTTTGTGTGTGTGGCTACCTTATCTGCTAAAAAATTGTAAAAAAATTTTTTTAAGGCTTTGAAAACCCTGGAACATTGTGGTGAAGAAAAAATATCTCATTTTGGGAGTATCGAACTCAGGATCACCACAGATAGCAGGCCAATGCACTGGCCATTATAATGTTAAGGCTTTGCTGTAATAATTATTTGCATGAGTTAATTAAATATTAGTTGAGTAGATGGGACAAACTGGATAAGAAAACCTAACACACATATGTTTAAAAAAAACACACACTCTTATCTGATAAAACATTTTTATTAGTTAAGGGGAAAGTCTGTGCACCTACATACAAAAGAATTGTCAGGTGACTGGTTGAACCCTAGACTTTCTTTTGTGCAGTTTCAGAAACCTGTTATATTTTAAACATTTTGAATATTAAAATTGCGACAAAATTATGTTTTTTTTTTCAGTAGTTATGAGTGTCTTTTTTTCTGTCCTAGTATACAAGGTCCGAGTAATGAGACTAATTCCATAAAAATTAAAATAATCAACACTTGAAGATATAACCTGCATCTGATTTAAAGAAAGGCCCTTGTGCATTGATACAGCATGTGGCATGATCTAATAAACACTGGAACGACCTCTGTAGTTCTTCTATTGTTATGGCCCTTAAAGTCGATGTTGCGGCCCTTTGGATGTCATCAGTATCGGTAAAGAAGCGTCCTTTCAATCGTAACTTCAGACGCTTCTTTAACGATACTGATGACATCCAAAGGGCTGCAACATCGAATTTAAGGGCCATAACAACAGAAGAACTACAGAGGTCATTCCAGTGTTTGTTAGATCATGCCACATGCAGTATCAGAGCCCAAAATTAAAGTTAAAATTGAAAGTTTCTGGGATAAAAAAAAAATCACTGGGAGACAAATCTGGGGAATAGGGTGGAAGACTGAGAACACACACTTGTCTTTAGGCAAAAAATTCTTGTTTTGATGATGTCTCTTGGGTACTCAACCCGCTGGTATTTTTGGTCATCAGATAACGAGTGTGGAAGAAACCAGCAAGCAATTTTTTCTTGCCAAAATTTTGCACTAAAATGTTATGAATGGTCTCTGTTAACACCAGATTCATCTGCCATCATCCTCACAGTAAAACGATCTTCTTGTATCCATTCTCTGACTTTTTTTTGCAATGAGTTCATCATTACGAACAGAAATTTGGCGTCCAGGTCTAGGTGCATTAGCAATCATTTCCACACCACTTTTGAATCATGAATACCACCTGAAATTTTGTGCACAAAATAAACAATTATCCACATAAAGTTGCATCAATTCAACTTTTTCAATGGCACTTTTATCTGAGTTTTAAAAAGAATTTAATGTTAGCTTTTTGCTCCGTGCTGATTACGTAACAATGCACCTCTGACTAGGTCAACAGAATGGCGACTTGCTTGTTGTCTGTTTATTGAGTGGCAATGAAAAGTTGCCAGATCATAGATGAAAGTTGCCTCTTTAGATTCCATGCTTTGCTTCATAGATGGCCTTTTTGTCTTGGCCATAATAAAATCAGTCTCATTACTTAATTGTCAGACCCCCCCCTCCCCTCCCCCGTGTGGGTTTAGGGGCCCCATTGTGGGGAAAACAAGAACAGACCCACTGCCTCCCCAAAAGCATGTCGTAAGGGTCGACTAATTGGGGAGCTTCCTTTGAAGTTGGAGTGCATCTGCCAGAGAGGCAAGGAACCAACAGTCTGTATTCAAGAGAATGAGATCTGTAAAACTGATGCACACGCAAACACTCAGGTTCTGGAGCAGGACTGCAGTTCAGTAGTGGACGACCCCGGTGTGGGTTCCGGGGCCCCATTGAGGGGAAAACAAGATAGACCCACTGCCTCCCCAAAAGCATGTCGTAAGAGTCGACTAATTGGGGAGCTTCCTTTGAAGTCAGAGTGCATCTGCCGGAGAGGCAAGGAACCAACATTCTGTATTCAAGAGAATGAGATCTGTAAAACTGATGCACACACAACACTCAGGTTCTGGAGCAGGACTGCAGTTCAGTAGTGGACGAGCAACCAGAACTTTCCGCCAGAGTTTACAGCTGGTGAACGCGAAGAAGAAGAAGTAGTAGTGGACGAGCAACCAGAACTTTCCGTAGAGTGTACAGCTGGTCAACGCGAAGAAGAAGAAGAAGTAGTGGACGAGCAATCAGAACCTTCCGCCAGAGTTTACAGCTGGTCAACGCGAAGAAGAAGAAGAAGTAGTGGACAAGCAACCAGAACCTTCCGCCAGAGTTTACAGCTGGTGAACGCGAAGAAGAAGAAGAAGAAGTAGTGGACGAGCAACCAGAACTTTCCGCCAGAGTGTACAGCTGGTGAACGCGAAGAAGAAGAAGAAGAAGAAGAATTGTCAGACCTTGTAGTATGACAGGGCACAAACCAGAAAAGGAGTTTTTCTTTCTAAGTGTGCAAGCCATTTTAATTACTGTCTTTGTATGAAATTTGGTATAGATTCATGATGCGATAATAAGACTAACTTGATATTTTCAGGAAATCACAATTTTCCGGCGGGCAGATAAAGCACGCAAAAACTACCAGGCTGCTCTGTCACATCACAATCCAACACTTCTGTCTGACGGTGGCGGCAACAGCAAAACGCTGAGTCCACAGCAGCAGCTGTCACCTGAAAAGGAAAAAGCTGCTGCAGACAAGAATGATGACGAGGTCGGGCAGGACCAAGATAGTAGTTAACATGTGTTGTCTTTGTTTTTTTTTGGTTCTTTTTTGTTTTGTTTGTCGCTGTGCTCATAATGGAATCGTCTTTATGGAGGGCGTAAGATTGTTAGGAAATTCTTATGACCATACCTGTATATCTTAACTGTTCATCCATTGAAATTGAATTGCTATACTGGCATTGTTTGTACTAAAAATTGTATACAATTGATTGATGTTTCTGAATGAGAGATTTTTTAAATTGTGAATGTCTAGAAGGTGGTATGACATAATTGGGTAGAGACCTTTAATGACTAAGTAGAACGATGCGATTTTAGTGGTTGGAGAATTGTTCTTAAAGATTTTTGTTGGCATTGTTGTAAGGTAAGAAAACTGATAGTTTTTTTTTTTTAGTAAACAATAGCAGGTTATGACTATTATCTAGTTTTCTTTTGTAAGCAACTGCAGTTTATAGTCAAGATCCAGTATTTCTGTAGCAAAGAATGGCAGTTTATGATGAATACCCTCTGTGATGTTTACAAAAAAAAAAGCAAGGGATTTAAAGAAAAAAAATCCTAAACTAGGAGAGGCACATAATTCAGTACAGGCATCCCATGCTCTGTTCCAACTCGCTTTATTGTGCTTTATAGATATTGCTGCATTTAATAAGCAGCTAGTAGTTGAAATATATTCTTTTCCATGGCTACCTTCTCCATTGGTTTTGTAACATTACATCACAAATCTCATTATTAAACTGACAACTGATTTAGTGTATGACGTAGGTTTAGCTCATAAAGTGATGACAGGCTTTGAAGGAATCAAACTTGCATTTTTTTTTTACATTTAAATTTCTACTTTTGTTGTCAATCATATTATACAGAGCAGAGAAATCCTTCATGAAAGTATCAGCCGAGCTGGCAGAATTCAGTGTTATCTTCGTAAAAACAACACAGTCGGCCAGCCAAAGTCTTATTTTAACAATAAACAAGTTAATAAGTTTCATAGCCTCTGTAACTAGAATGTCTTTACACTGGAACCTACATCATCGTGTAGCAGGTCCTTTGCAGAACGTCGCTCTCATCACAGTCTGCCTGAAAGAAACTCGGTCTCTCGCCAGTTCTCCCGCCTCATGAACTTTCATACTCAAGGAGTCACTTATATCCTGTGCCCATCTTCGTGTCGGTCGGCACCTGCCCCGTCTTCCTGGTACCATGCCTTCTGCTATAATTTTTTCCAATCCGTCGTGGCGCTTCATATGACCAAAATATTTCAGCTTTGGAGAAAGGAGGAACCTACAAGAGCATAGAAATAAAGGAAGACCAGAAACCATTTGGAGGAGGGAGCTAGAGAGTGAAATTAAAAAGATCGAGAGGACATGAGGTGAGCTGCATGTTATAGCAAAGGATAGGGCCTGAGTTGGTTAAACTTCACTGGAGGATAAAAGCAGGAGAAGAAGAAGAAGAAGAATTGCTATCTAAACTGGCAGCGTTTAGAGCTTCTGAAGTATCAAGATTCATCAGATAAGCAAGACTTCCCATAAAAAATATAAAAAATATAGTTACAATTTGCTAATGGCTCAAAAAATTAAATCTTAGCATATTAGCAGTCCTCTCCCTCTTCACTAGCAGATGTGGCCAAAGCAACGGAATCAGTAGATGTAGATTATTATGGCCCGGAGAGAATAAGGCATCTGAGTGTAACCAGAGGGTCTGGCCGGCTCACTACACTCAGAGGAAAGGCAAGATGGACATATAACCAGATTATGACCGGTACAGTCAGTATTAGAACTCTGCGCTGGCTGCTGAAGATGAGGACAGAGCATGCATGGGAATGCCCCCGAGTGCTGTGATATCAATTCTTGACTCAGCTCAACTCCTTCTTCACTAGGTCTTTTACTGTTTTGGGTGTTGAGGGAGACACATAGTTCTAGTTAACGCTTGTCTGGCACCCTCAGCCATAGACACTTGAAACTGTTATATCTTTCCACCATGTTCTTGGTCCACCTCGGGTGCTACAACCCTCTGTTCTGTTTGTATGTGCCTTTACTCCTTCTGTGTTATGGCATTACAAAGCATTCTCTTTAAGGGGGATTTTTGGCTGTCTTTGTATGTAGTTCAGTATTGGTTCGATGCCACTTTCTCCCATCATGTCTGCATTTCTGATTTTTTTTGTCTTTTCTGATCACTCTGCAACCCTGTCCCAGATATCTCATTTCTATAGTTAATAGTTTTCCACGGCAATGAGAAAGGTTGTAGGAATACAGTATTACAATTTACAGCTCTGTACTTCAGTATGACTTGAGCCTTTATTCTGGCGGCCTAGAACTGAGCCTGTAATGTCTGTGAGGCAGGCATACATTGTAACAGATGTAAAATCCACCCTCCCCCCCCCCCCACCTCAGACAAACACACATACCTGCACACCCACATGTGTGTTCACGCACACACAGATGAATTTTCTTGTATGATGACAAGTAATATAATTTGATTCAGAAAAATAATAAATTTAAAAACTAGAGAAGATAGATTTGACAAAAGGGGGTGGGGTTCGGTTATCAGATTAAAAAAATATGGGCTATTAAAGCAAGTCATTTGTAATACTCGCTGTATGTACTTGCTTTCCCTTAAGCATTTGCACCCCTCCCCCTCTCCCCACCAAAAAAAGATCACTGGCAAGAGTAATTCCACAGAAGTAAGAACAAGTAATCTTCTTCCATTATCCATCATGTTATTTATAATCATGTTATTATAAGTGAAAATTGTTATCGTCTTTGAAGTTTTTGTGAACAAAGTGAGAGTGGAAAACTGTAATGACTTCTGTTGTTATTTGTTATTTCTTGCTGCTGGCTTTTTTTGTATCTGTTTATAAATGCAGTGCCTCTTGTGTGTTAAGTTTCTCCTTCCACTGAATATACAGCTCAGTAACTTGTAGTATGCTGCAGTGAGTGATACACCATGAGTTTATTCCAAATCTCTTTAGATTAGCAAACACCACCGCTTTATTCTGCATCTCAACTAGATAAGATAGCAAGTTGAAATAACTAGCGAAGACCATATGTTTATTTCCCATTTAGGTTAAAATTGCCAGGAGACACTACAAGTTGGTACATCTCATGATCTTGCCGGTATCTCACTGGCACTCGAGATTTCCTGTAAGCTCCCATTCATACCATGGCTAATAATTCTATTTTCTAAGGATGTTAGCATATGCAGTTCTTCCCCCTTTTCGCTGTAAGTATGCAACATGTGGAAAATCATTTTAGAAGCAACACAACAAGAGTACGCAGCTCTCTTTCCTGGCATGCGACATTGAGCCACAGGGTGGTTTTTGTTGTTGTTGTTGTTTTGTTTGTTTGTGTGCGCAGGCGAATGTTTAACTAAGTTTTCCTTTCCCTGTGACGTCTCTTGTGCAACCGTCAGTGGTTTGAGAACTGGTGACACATTTGGGGCATGCCCTGAAAAGGCCAGTCTGGGGGTGGGGGGTGGGGAAGAGGCCTTACAGAACAGCAAGCTACTCTGCTTGTTGCTCACCAAAGCTGACAGTTGAAGGAAATTCATGGCGAAGGTAAAGTTGTCAACTGAAGCCGTAATGATAGCGATAAAAAGCGAACGGGCAATGCAAGTAATACACAGTGCCGGCTGCTGGCGAAGTGGAAAATAGAATGTGCTAGCCGCTCGTAAACCGAAATATAGAATGCTTATAGAGTTGAAAATAACAAAACATGACAACCCTACAGCATATACCACACAGCCTGTGGGAAATCCCGTGACCCGCTTGATGCAGGCATCTTCGTGATATGTACCTACAAGTTTATCCCCACTCTCTGCTAGATGAAACAGCAAACTCACACCACAAGTTTATTCCCCATCTCAGCTAGATGAAACAGCTCACACAAATTTATTCCCCATCTCAGCTAGATAAAATAGCTAACTCACACCACAAGTTTATTCCTCATCTCTGCTAGATGAAACAGCAAACTCACACCACAAGTTTATTCCCCACCTCAGCTAGATGAAACAGCAAACTCACACCACAAGTTTATTCCCCATCTCAGCTAGATGAAACAGCTCACACAAATTTATTCCCCATCTCAGCTAGATAAAATAGCTAACTCACACCACAAGTTTATTCCTCATCTCTGCTAGATGAAACAGCAAACTCACACCACAAGTTTATTCCCCACCTCAGCTAGATAAAACAGCTCACACAAATTTATTCCCCATCTCAGCTAGATATAAAATAGCTAACTCACACAAGTTTATTCCCCATCTCTGCTAGATGAAAGAGCTAACTCACACCACAAGTTTATTCCCCATCTCCACTAGATAAAATAGCTTACGCACACCACAAGTTTATTCCCCACTTCAGCTAGATAAAATAACCAAATCACACCACAAATTGATTCCCTATCTCAACTAGATAAAATTGCCAAATCACACATGTTAACTCAAAAGGATAAAATAATTAACTCAACCATATTCATTCAAGCTCACTAGATGAAATAGCAACAAAGAAAGTTTAGCGTAATATATATATATATATATTGCCCACATCACCCACCAAGTGCCGATTGGTCTATACAATTTATGTCTAGCTGGATATGCCTGAAGGCGTAGGAAAAGTCCTTTACTTACTTTTTACTCACGCCACATGGCACAGACTATAAGAAAGTAAGTAAACACTCTACGACGTGGTCTCAAGGCATGGTGTCTGCCTCGAGTGCTGGAAGTTCTGGGTTCAATCCCCGGTAAGGACTAGGATTTGTTCACGTGGACTTGGACTTCTAGTAATTTTCCCTGGTCTCTGGGTAGTGAGACCGGACATTTTGGGAAGCGAAAAAAGATCAAACTCCCCTGCTCTTTAACAAGTATGTCCTAAGGATTTGCTGATATCATCCTTTTAAGGGCAAACACAGAAGACCTGACACAATGTTCTGGGTCTTATCCCCCATTAATGGAGAGATTTTTCTTTTAGCATGCTTTGTTGTGGGTTTGACCTAGCTGCATTAAATGGGCACAAGAGATTTGTGTGGGAATGTG